TAACGGAAGGGAAATTACCCTCACAGCGATCTGAGTACATCAAGTAAACCTGAAGGCTAGCTAGCATAATGACAAGATTGCCTTCCAGCCGTCACCTCACTATCAGTGCTTACAGACGACAAGCAATCCAACAGCAAAGTCCACTAGCTCCCAGCCGAGGTTCACGACACTCAGCTCTATCACTAAAGTAATCTAGACCCAATACGGTTCGCTACTACACCTACCAGTTATAGTCACTACACGAAGTGCCCCTGGTGCAACGTCCACACTATACCTCGCACAGTCACAGCACAGAACGGTAGAAAGCGTCCTCCACGATCCTGCCACTCTGCGACCCAGCAGCGAAACTCTCTGATTGTGCGCGCTCTAAGCACGCCGCAAGCGCCCAGAACTAGTGCTCTACGCAACGCTGATTGGTCAACGCAATGCTTAATAATTCATGACTTAGACTGGCATTCATGCCTACCCCTGTTTCGTCACAATATGTTAGTAACGCCATGCTATTTTACAGGTGTGTGTGGCCAGCATGAATTCAGATGCGGAATGACCGACTCCTGTGTGCCGAGACACCAGATTTGCGACAGAAAGGCAGATTGCAGAGACTATTCGGACGAAATGATGTGTGGTAATTCGATAGAATAGACGTAAAATAATGACGCGCCTTATGGACCGATTGCACCTGCTAAGTAGCATGCCTTATATTGGGTATCAAACATCAAAAACAAGGCGTCTTGCCATAGAAAATAAGCTGATTTAGGGCATAGTGCCCAGCACATCATTAGTCTGAGTACTTTACCGACCATCGGCTTTAATTTTGGTAAACGACATTTATGACACACTTTGCTGTGGGAGGACGCTACGCTTGCTGATGTTTGATACCCACCATAGGTCACGTGACTACGTGGGCGCAATCTATCTGCAAGTGAGCTCGATAGATCGTGGCCCCCAGCACTGCCATATAGGAAAGCACACACGTGATTAAGGTATGGTGGCAAAGTTACACGTCTAATATCTTACCATCATGATCCTTACCTTTAATTGAAAAAAAGACCAACGTGTTTATGATAGTGCTATAAATTAGAAAGATGACGGCAAAAGTGACAGTAGCCCAGCCACATGTCTTGAGCTTCGCTTCGGAAGTCAGTGCTCGTCCACAAGCTAAATCACGGAAAACCTGTTTCAAAATGCCAGAACTGAGACAAAGGGGGGAAAAAATTAAGAGAGTTTTGGGATGGAATCGGAGGTTTCCGTGTCCAGTTTTTAACCACACCCTCGTGAACTGTGGAAGATTGTTGCGACCGATACTACTGTTGAGGGGTTTTTGCCCTTGGAAAAATTTGTTCTACCTTAGTGGTAAGCCAGATTTATACGGCACAGAATCACTGTGGAGAAAACACAGCATATTTCCTAAAGTGCCCAAAAGATCAAATACTTGGAAAACACTTTCTTAATGATTCATTGTTAATGGTAGAAAATAAGCCATTTATTTCAACGTTTTGGTTTGATCTCATTATATCAGGATTCTGTGGGAACGAAACTGTCCATCTTAGTACAAACAATTACGTATTACGTCATGATGATCACAACACACCCTGCATGTGGGTTATTACTGCCGAGCCAGGCTGGCGAATTGAAGCCAGAATTCAACAGTTAGACAAGGCATTCGCAGTTACCATCGGGACAAGTTACGATACCACTAGCCCTGTCAACCAGAAGGTCTTACGAGAAGTGATAGTAAAGAGCTATTATGCCTACCCAAGATTTATCACAACGAACAACTCTATAATGTGGATCAAAGCAATACACCATCGCTACCACAGGCCTGCTGATGAGCTACAGATAGATTTTCATCAGTATAGAAACGTTGGTAAGGATTGCAGAGTCATTGTGGTTTAACATGCTAAAAGTTGTCATTCGAACCTAGGTACATCAAGGCAGGAAAGTGGTTAGGGTTTAGCAAACTGGGGCCCTGCCCAATCAAATCTTTTGTTTAGTACATCATATTGTAATTCTTTCCCAAAGCAGGTACAAAGGGAAGACCGTAAAAGCACAAACGCTATTTTTCCCAGAACCAATAAATGATCGGCTCGGAAATATTTTAGTTCAAGTTTGACCTTTTTCGAGGGTAAATTATAGATTGCGATTCTCTTTATTGAAATTAACTTCACGAATGATTATTAAGATACTTTTGCGTACTGGTTTCGATCTCTCAAGCTTTCGTTTTCGACTCAGGAGACTTAGTCACAGGACCACCAAGATATTTTTAATATCGGGTGAAAAAGGTTAATGCTGAACATTTCGGTAGTTTAGTTTTAAAAGCTGACTTTCAAACCGACGGATCTCGATCTCTCAGTATCTCGCTCCCGTATTAGCGTCGTTACTTACTGAACCCCAAGGATCTTTAAAGTTTTATTTTGAAACAATTAATATATTTTTAAAAAGATCACACTTTTTCGCGGACGCAACTTGCTTCTTCGACTGAATTCAAAGTGACGCGTGACAGCTATATGGCCATGTACCCTGCTCTGATAGTAGAGGTTTAAGAATGTACATCCCTTGAAGACGATAGACACACAATGAGGCTACCATACCTTTCCCGCAGTGTAAAGAGTGTAGCAGACAATTGCCTCTTATACGACGCGTTTTAATATAGGCCGACCCATCAGTCCAACATATAAGTTGTATTGTTACGACCTTTTGTTCGCCACTAATTATGCACTTTTTCCCGTTTAAAACGAGGTCTTTCAATATAACAATTACAGAATGCTCCCAAGGTGAACACACATGCGCCTCAGGCCTTCAATGCATCCCAGAAGAAGCACGCTGTGATGGGACTGCTGAGTGCCCAGAATTTGGGGACGAAATCAATTGTGGTTAGTTTCAGGCAGGTCACAACACGGCGCTTAAACGCTTCTTGGCAGCAGAGGTGTAACGGAGGAAATAAGTGATAGCCGCCCCCCACCTGGCCGGAGGTCTTTGTCCCTCAGTTCCCCCTCTTCAAAAATCAAGGACGGAAAAAAAATCTAGAGATAGTCTAGCTTGGACTCCGCGAGCGACTTTAATGCTGTGGTTGTTCATTGTAATAGTAAAGCATATGCTACACAAGCAATAAACCAAAAAGTAGGGTTAAAAAGGTTTTATTGGGTGGGGGAATCTACTGGTTCAAAATTGAAATTCACCTTAAGCAAACTTTGAGTCTTATTGTAGCCCTTAATTTTTCCAGTGTTGATCAATACCTGGAAGTGCTCAAAGAAGCCTTAAACTTTATGCTACGTGTAAAAGCGAATTTCCATCATTTGTTCTACCAAAACATGGAGAGGAAACGGTTTTTTGAGGAATTTAAAGAGTCCAAAAATGATAAGGGAAACTCTCTGTAAACGTCTGGCTTGAACAGTGCATTCGTTCACCGAAGATATTAGCTTTGTTTCCGTCCATGACTTTTATAGGCTACACTTTCTTGAATACAGTCTTTGGAGTTGCCTCCTTTAGCTCATATAAAAATCATAAAACACACCAACAGGGGGCAGCGGGATTTCTATGAAACAGGAAATACTGAGATCGCAGTTTAATTAAACGAATATGAGACAGTTGAAAGGGGGGGGGGTAAAAACACATCTTCACAGCTGTTTAAATCTAATTCAGTAGGGTTGAGACTACAAAAAGCACGAGTAAACTACAGGGTGTCCCAGAAAAACCAAACACTGAGGAAAAGGGGTTAATATGCCCAAACCATGAGATATGATTATAATGTATCAGGATCTCTGAAAAGTGGAAGCAGTATTCTTTCTAATGACACCTTGATGGTATCGCTCCTGTTGTGCATGACTGAACACCATTGTCTTAAAAATTGGGCATGCAAACATAGTTGTAACACTTTGGATAAACTAGCGAATGACGTTGTCCTCTGTCATGCTTGTCCTGGTTGAAAGTGACAACAAAAGGTCATGTTAATGAGGGAAGATTGCCTTTTGTCACTGTCAAGTTATGCAATAATCAGATTAGAATTTGTTGACTTGCCTCGGGGTAGGCCAGTGCAGTGATGAAAAATGTTCAACACAGGACAGAAAGTCTGCAACATGGTGCAACTTACCAAAGAGTGTTTGTCGTGACGAAATTTCTTGATAACAAGAGCTTTCAGGCCACCCAAGCTGCATTTAGGGAAGCCTTCCCTGATAGGGATCCATCGGCAAAGTCGACCATCTGGGAAAATGTGCGCAAATACCGAGAACATGGGACAAGCCTTAATTTGAATAAGGGTCATTCGGGAAGGAGGCGCACAGTGCGAACACAGTGCTAACGCAGTGTCAATCAGTCAAGGGGAACCAGTTGCAGGAAGAAACGACTTGGACTGTCCCATTCTTCGTTTGACCGCATAACGCAGTTAGACCTGCAGTTCCATCCATACCAAATGCACATCCGCCACCAACTTTTGCGTGGAGACCTCAGGAGGAGACGGAAGTTTGCTCAATGGCTCCTGGAACGCTGCCAGTCCAATGAAAGGTTTCTTGAATGGTTGACAATTGGTGTTGAGGCAGTATTTGGGATGAATGGAGAAGTTAACACCCACAACAACGTCGAATACGCGCCGAAGGGCAAACGCCAACTTTGAACTTTGAAACCAACATGAGTCGTGAGAAGGTCACCGTTCGGGTAGGACTGTGTGGAAATGGTGTCATTATCGGACTATTCTTTTTACAACTGAATGGTCACCGGTACTTGCACATGATCAACGAAGACGTGGTACCCCAACTTCAGATGCATTTTCAACGGCATGAAAACGGTGTTTCCCGACGTGTGGTGGGCCCAAGACGGGCACCCATGCATAGGCTCATCGCTGTGAGGTATCTCCTGCGGGAAGTGTTCCAAGATCGAGTAATTGCTCTTAACCCTCCAATTGAATGGCCACCCCGTTCTCTGGATCTCACCCTGTGTGATTATTTTTGAAGGAGTCCACCACGTAACATTCATGACTTACGAGGTCGCTTTCAACAGGAGGTCGACATCTGACGACATGACCCTGCATTTTTGAGACGAGCTGTGACTGACATGCGCAGTCGTTGTGAACTCTGCATTGAAAGGGAAGGCGGACACGTGGAAGGTGTCGGGGCATAATTAACTGTGAATTACTTAATGTGTAAATAATCGGTGTACCCCTGATATCTTATCCCTGACAAGCATGACAGAGGACAACCTCATTCACTGGTTTATCCAAAGTGTAACAGCTGGAATCGGATGCCCCATTTTCAAGACGATGGTGTTCAGTCATGCATGACAGGAGGGGTACCATCACATTTGAAGCGAGTTATGAGACGGAGAGAACCCCGCCTGCTTTGTGTTGGTCATTGTCTCACTGGAATCTGGGGAATTCCTTTCAGACATCTTGGGGGGATGGGTTAGGTACTAAAGTCTTAAGTGCGTATAGGAGTTGGACATGTTGGGGGGCATCCCTTGGTCTCATTTCGTGCTGGGTATATACTATCAAAGTATCATTAGAAAGAATACTGCTTCTCCTTATCGGAGATCCTTAAACATTATAGTCATATCTCATGGTTTGGGCATATTAACCCCTTTCCTCAGTGTTTGTTTTTCTTCTGGGACACCCTGTATAGCACACCCCGTCTTAGAATCCAAGGATGGGTACAGCAAACCAAAGCTTTTTAAAATCTTGAGAATTCCAACAGGGGGCCCTTTGGAAGATTCAATAATGGGGTTTCGATGAAGGGTAAAGGCTACGTTTCTTGCAAGGGCAACTCCTGAGGGAGGAGGACAATGGGGGCTACACTATGTTACTTTTTTGCCCCCCTCCAATAACTCTTCCATTTGCCCCAGACAAACATTGCTTTTGATCCGCCTTTGGGTTCATGCACATGTTTATGCACGAAACTGATTGCTTCAATACATTCGAACAGACTTGATTTCCATAGTGGCCAACAACGGTAGAAGCTTACATAAGCATTTTGTATACTCATTATTTGTTTTGTCACCATTAAAGAAAGCTGCTGAGTGAACAATTGACATTAAAATCCAGATGAAGTTGGAATTGAAACCCCTGTTCTAATGAAAGTGTCAACGAATGAAATTGTTATGGTTCTCCAGTGAAGGGTCTTTCGGTCTAATCTACTATCATCCTCTTTGTACATCTTCCATATTTGAAGGAAACTGCTCAAAACATGAGTTCCCTTGCCGCTTGGGCTACGGATGCGTCTCACTTCATCGTGTCTGTGACGGCAGGAACGATTGCCCAGACCTGTCAGACGAGATGGGATGTGGTAGGTACCGGCACGCTGACACATTATCTAAATTCCCCAGCAGGGAGCTCATGTCTAAGCTTATTTCTTTGATTATCCTCTATTATATCTGGAGAAAAAGTAGAACCGATACAGGTACACAATTTTGCAGTGATCCAAGACAACTCAATACAGAACCTGGGGTGGAATCAGGCCCCTTTACATTTTTCCAACATCGTTGCTGTATAGCTTTTACACATTGAACCTTCACAGGTGCACTCCATATGACATTTTGCACTCATTTTGAAACCATTTTGTTAAATCAAGCATACGGTTCTCGTGCTGTGCCATTTGTATAGAAACATCAGCATAAACACCCTCTGTGGTGATCAATGCCCGTGGACTAGTACCTGTTGTCTTGAACTCTTACTAACTGTTTACAAAAAGTCCTGTATTGGATCGTGGAGCTATTAAACACAAGGAGTTAGAACGAAGTCCCCACAGACCGTCAGCTCCATAGACAGAGCGTGGTTACCGGCTGCAGTGCTGACGAACCAAGATATTCTTTGTACGTAGTGATCGTCATCGCCGGGTAACTGACAGACTCTGCGTGTTTCGCTGCTGCATTGTGGAATAAATAAATGGAGGAAAAGATACACCAAGAAGATGCACAGTTCTCTACAGTAGTCAGCGAGAGACCCCCGTGGTTGTGCTTAAAAAAAATCTAATAACGGTGCATATTTAGTAAAAATCGGAGGTTTTTAAAGTAAGTTATGACGTTTTGTGGTTCTGGCGGTTGAGAACATGTACTCAAAATATGAATTGCAATATTTGTATCATAATTCGTAAGTTTAGGTTTCCTACAGTTAAAAAAATTTCAAACATGCCGCAAGGATGCATTTGACAACGTGGCAAGATTTCATGGCGAGACAGTTGCGGACAATGACAGAAAGGACAAAAAATCTTCCCATGTTCTTGAATGTTTTTCATTTTCCTTTGGAGTAGCTACATTCCTTCAGTGTCTTGTCGTGTATTATAGAGAATTTGTGTTTGCCAGTACGATTATTTTATTGTTCAGAGAGGCGTTTTGGGGATGTAAAGACGTAACCAGGCTTTCATTATCGTTGCAATATTACAATAATAAATAAAGTTATCGAAATTTTAGCTCCCATAACGGAGGTTCCCGTCTCAATTGCGGCCATGTTGCCCGTGCGGAAGTTCACTGAGACGCATGCGCGGTACCCACAACCCTTTGCAAATGCAACTTCTAGCATTCCTTGTAGCCTGCAAGTGGCGTGTAATTTCATTTGTCCGTGCAGGACGTGCATGCAGTGCTGGTGCTGGCCATCGTTGACCCTTTTGATCTGTGCATGTTTTTACTTCCTGTGTTTAATAACTCCGTGGTTGGATTGAAATAAAACCTCACTTTTGTACTTATATTGTGTATTATTATGCATGGCTAGGTTTAAAAAGGGGGAAAAAGTTGAACAGGTACGGGACAGGCAAATGGGGGACCAGCCCTCCGGCCGTGAGATAGTTGGGGAAAAAGCGCTCTACGGTGGAACGCCGCTATAACGAAGAAGACGGGGCCCACGCTAAATGTTCGGTACAGTGGTCATTCGGTATAGCGAATTTAACTGCCGAACGTTTCGTTACCATGTTGAATAGTGCCCTCTCTTGTCTAACCGAAGTGCACCCTATTGTGATACATTTTTTCGCTGTTATGGCGAATTTCGGTTGATTTGTGTATCAGCGGCGCCCTCTTTAGACTTGTTAGTGCAATGCCACCGTGCGCGTACGTGCAGTTTTCTTCCGCACCCAATCATGTGGAGTCGCAAAACTAATGTATTTTCAATGCCGTTGACAACTAGTGGCTTTCCCTTCTACTCCTTGGGGAAATAATGGCCGCTTGTCACTTTTCGACATAAAAAAAACCACCGACTGTTTTGTCAATCAATTAGAAATATCCCACTTAAACAGCCTTTATTGAAGACTCTTGCCTGTTTTGAGTCCATCTGAACACGATGAGATAGATTCAAATCTGGCATTGATTATTTAAACCAAATGCTTCACAGTCTAACTGTACAAAACCTATGAGAAAAACGTAAAGTCAAAGGGCTGAAATAATTGTTGAAAAATCAGTAATAAATCAGATATAGAAGTCATCACGACGTCATTCATTTTCTATAATTCTTTTTTTTGGGGGGGGATGTCGTTTTGGTAACGAGCAAACATCTCGAAGTTACCAAAATTGTGGCTTGAACACATGTACAAAGTCAATGAATTATGAAAACATACGTAGAAAAACTGCTCCCTTTAAGTTCATTTCAAGTGATTTGCTTTTAAACTGAAACTTTCTTTATATAATATTTCTTGATTTTTTGACTCTTTGCTATATTTTAAATCAAATAACAAAGCTTAAAACGTACGATTTCTCTTTTGTTTACAAAGTAATCTTGAAGTTCAGGATTACGGGCTCATTAGTGTTCAGTAGAAAAACGTGTACAAATTCTATGGCAAAACATTAAATATTTTAAATTAAAAAAAAGTCGCCTGATACGTCACCATGACAAATTTGTCCCAGGACCGTCCTTGTATAATTGTCTGATGGGCTGCCAAGTTTGAAGCCGATCTGATGTATAAAACTATCGAAGTCCTTTGACAGAAAAAGAGGCGTACCAAACCTATGGAGAAAAGTCTGACAAAGGAAAAGAAAAAAGAAACAAAAAAATGAAAATAAGCAAAACAATAGCTGTTACACCTGCTAGCCGAAACAGCTAAATAGCTTGGGGTCATTCGTCTGTTTGCCAACAGAACAGAGGACTTTTTCGTACTCGTTTGTACATCTGAGCCTCATATCACGTGGTGGACTGAGAGTGTGCACAATACGAAATCATTAGTGACCAGAGTCCTGATAAGTCTAGCTGTTGAAAAACGTGTACATATCCCTTGGGGAAAGATTAAATATTCAAAAATCAATTCACAAATATGTCATGACGCCATCATGCCGTCATGAATTTGGACTGATTTTTGTATCAGGGTCTTTGTTGGCTGTAATTTTGACAACAATTGAAGATCGCCAAATTACCAAAATAGCGCCATGGAAACGTGCACAAGGTCAATGGGCTGAAATAAATAATAAAAAATTAATAATAAATCACTTAATGTTGTCATTATAAAGAGATTGTTCTAGACACATCTTTACACAAGGGTCCTTATTTGATGTGAGTTTGATGAAGATCCAAGGTTGATATGGGATTAAAGTCTGTGTTGAAAGAAACGTGTACAAATCAAATGGGCTTTTCGTGCAGAAGAGGAAGAAACAAGAAACCAAAAAAACAAAACAAAAACAAAACAAAGACAAGTAATGCCTATTTCGCAAAATGGCAAAAAGCCCCCCTCCCCCAAAAAAGAACAATAGAATGCCTTTTTCGCAAAATGCGAAAAAGCCAACGGGACGTCTATGTCTGCTTTTAACAGAACATCTTGAATTTGTGTACAAACTAAATAATAAAAATTATTAAAATATGCAAAAACAAATACTGAAAGCTCCATAATACATAAAATTATGACGTCATCATGACGTCACTAGTTTCGTGTCATCTTTGTAATAGATTCTAGGCTTTTATAAAGATTAAAGATCGCTGAATGACAAAAAGACCACCTTTATATTGTGCACAAACTCATAAGGCAAACATAACTACTCAAAATTCGATAAATAAAATGATGACGTCATTATGGCATCATACTTCGAATCTCATTTGTGCCTTGATTTCTTTGGTTTGTGTAAGTTTAATGAAAATACAAGAGTGCAAAGGGATTAAAGTCCAGGCGAGAAGAAAAGTACAAAGTAAACGGACTTTTGCAGAGGAAAACCCTGGAGAAGTTGAAGGGAAAAGAATTCAGAACAAAAAAAATTCTTTTTCGTAACTTGCAGAAAAGCCCCCCCCAAAAAACCCTAAATTGAGCAAAAGAATGCCTTATTTGCAAATTAATATTCTGACAACAACTTTATTTTTGCTTTTTTGTACCAGGACCTTGCGACGGATCCTTTTATAACTTATCTGGCGGTGAGTTGAAGATACTGACTTCACCTGGTTGGCCACTGAGAAATTACCCTCCATATACACAGTGCCTATGGTTATTGGTGGCTGAAGCAGGATACCGAATCGTGCTGTATTTTGAGGAATTTTTCCTGGAGAAATCATTTGACTTTCTCTATTGTGGTAACGGTGACAGCTTCAATAACGCCTTTCTACGATTATCAGGGTGAGAAAATATTTAATGTTAATTTTCCTTAATTATAACTTTGTTTATAACTTTGTTTTTTACTTCTTCTTCACTGTAAACATTTTCGTTTGTAAGACCTTTTTAACTTGAGAAAAGACGTCACTATATTTTAAATAGAATGTTGAGTGTAGGTCAAGTTGACACATTACACATCAGTTCGAAAAGAATACCTTAGATGGGAGGCACTTTGTTGTCGTGATGAAATTTTGTTTGTTTTCGTTTTTTATTATTCTGTGTGACGTTTTCTCAATTTAGGGACATTTGGCGACATAGGTTATTCAACAATGCTCTCAAAACTACCCGAAGAGTGTCTTTTTGTCTCTGGTTGTTTTCACTGCACAAATACACCAGAGAAAGAAGTTTGTATTTTAAGATATTGGTATCTATTTTTCAGGAATCGGTTTCCAATCATGGTTGCATCAACAAACAATACAATGTTTGTTAGGTTTACCTCCGACTTCATCATTCAAGAAAGAGGATTTCAACTAAAAGTTCAGCAGAAGCTCTCAGAAACAGGTATTTCGTGTGACTTGAATTACATTTAGTTTTTAACCTTAACCCTTTCAACTTATGTTTATCAACTCTGAAATAGGAACAGAGTTCTTTCGGCCCATCAGTACCTACTGTGTTAATACTTTCCATGGTTCTTAACTTGTTGTTCGAGAGACATTGGGCTTCGAAAATGTAAACTTTGAAGACGTGTCACTTGATTCTGCATGAAGACACGTTTGATACTCGATCCTGCACAAGGTTTACTAGATCCAGTAAAGTTTGGTGTTTGGTTGATTCAGTACAGTCTAAGTCAAATTATAACGTCGAAAGTGGTATTTTCACGGAAAATAACTCAATTTCAATTTCCAGAAGAAAACTCCATATTTAATTTTCGAAAAAGATCTACTCTTTAAAACTCTCACAAATCAGTAGACTAATATCTACAAAATAGTTTTGCGTGACGGTATCAGGACGTGCGTCTGCTTGATGATGAAAGTTAATATGGAATTTTGCGTGGTATCCATGTGGCCGTTTGTTATCAGGATGTGCGTCTATTTGATGATAAAAGTTAATATTGAATTTCCTTTTGCAACAGTTTGGTGTGGGAAAGGTGAAATTCCCTGCAAAACACAAAATCTGATTTGTATTAGGAACAGCTCCAAGCAAGACATTATACAAATCTGTCGCGGTAAGTAAATAAAGCACTGACATTTTCTAGTAAGGACAGTTTGCTTTTTCAAAAATGGTGGTGCTTTCAATTCCTAAATAAAATCAATAAATAAAATAAAGACATTTGGCAACATAGTTCACGTGACTTGCCCCCCACTGTTTGATACGCCATTTATTGAAGGTTGAGGCTCATTTTGCAATTTCCAAACCCATTCTTTTTTACGTCTCAGATAAAATCGAGGGGTGCGGTGGCGTGATTGACTTCTCGGGAAACAGCACAGATCTCCGTTCTCCTGGCTACCCACAAGCCTACCCCCCAGACGTCGCCTGCCATTGGGAAATCAAATCTACAGAAAGATTTCTGATATCAATAGTCAGCTTTGCAACTGAAACCTCTCGGGACATCCTGCGATTTGAAGGCACCACGCCCCAGGACGGAAAACCCGTTTTTTTCAAAATGGACGGGAGCACCAAATTCAGAACCATAGAGTTCTGTTCGCTAGTGCGCATTAACTTTACCACCGATTCAACTGTCGAAGATACGGGTTTCCTGCTACGACTGTTACCCACAAACAGTAATTGCACCTCAAAAACAAAACAAAACAAAACAAAACAAAACAAAACAAAACAAAACAAAACAAAAAAGAAAAAAAGAAGAAAAAAAAGAGAGAAAAGGGGGCGGGTTAGTCTTCATGAAAGAAGCATTTCCCTTTTTTCTAACAGCTTGAAATTGAAAAAAATGTTTTGTTCTAGATTACTAATGTTGAGACCTCACTCATTCAGACAGATATAAGACAAAATAAATACCACAAAGACCCTTTGTCTGAAATCAAATCGTTGAACTGCAAGTTGGCTTTCCTTTGACATTGTTAATCATTGTTGCCTTTTTCTACCAATGCCACAGATGACACATCCTGCATCGATGAACCACACGATGACTGTGGCCCATGTATGTGTCCTGACGCAAGATATGAGTTCCAAGACAGCCAGTCGAACCAAACAGACGATCAAGAATGTCGTACGTACACTCCAATTCCACTAAAGCTCCGTACTACTTTTTTATTTCCAGCTGTTATAAACTAAGAGTTTGAAGATCACGTATAAAAGTATTCCGACAAATTGGTTATGATTTACTGAAAATGAACTGATATCAACTAATAGCAGAATTTAAAGTTTAGAACTAATTCCTGGTCTGGAGAGCTAATGCGGTACGCCTCTTTAAAGAAACATTTTCTCTTTTTCAAAAGCTTGAAAGTGAAAAATAAATGTATTTGTTTGCTCGAGATTACTTAATAATGTTGTAACCCTCACCCCTTAAGGGGGAAAAAACAAGACATGGTACACACCTCAAAGACATCCTGCCTGAACTCAAATTGTAAGATGTTCGATTGAACTGCAACTAATACGTTCCGTTGACACTGTTAACCATATTAACCTCTGCCTACAATGCTTCCCCTGCCCAGATTGAAATACGTCAATTTGAAAAACAAAATTAAAGAGGTGTTCTAATTTCTTTACCAACACTGACCACCATTTTGCAGTAGTCCTAGAAATGAACATTAATTGGTCTTTAGAAGAGGACATACGTTTTCGCAAGGGTTTGGTAGTAGCGATTATTATTCAGTACTTCCAATGTCTTTCTAAGATTTAGAGACTTATGAAATAGGTTTCTTAATGCTTTTTTCTATCAATGTCACAGAAGACACACCCTGCCTCGACCCTTCACACTTTGACTGTGGTGATGGCTCGTGTGTGTCTCCGAACGCAACATGTGATGAGTTCCAAGATTGCCAGATGAATGAATTAGACGAACAGGAATGTCGTGCGTACATTTCGATTTTAATAAGGCTTAGTCATGTTTTTTTTTCGATTTCCAGCTGTTATAAACTAAGAATGTTTAAGATCATGTATGACAGTATCTTTAAAAAGACAAATTGCTTATGATTTAATGAAAATGGACTGATAACCACTGAAAGCACAATTGAAGGAGCCTAAAATGGATTGGATTAATTTAAATTTCCTTCGGTACTTTGATTCGTGTCAGTCCACTTACCGGTAATTTATTCTTTAATTACTTTTATGAGTTTTTATAAAGGCAACTAGCGACAGCCAGGCTTGTATGCAGTTTGTGATCACACAATCCCGATGGGAAAATGAGATTTTTACATTTCATTTTTTCTACGATTTGAACGTTTCCTTACAAGGATTCAAAAACAGTGGCTTATTATGCAAATTTGGGTTAGTGCTACGACTGTTACCTACAAACGGTTGCCGGTAGTGGACATCAAATAAAGAAACGATGAAAATCTTACTGGAACGAATCCTATTTGAAGTTTAGAACTAATTCATGGTCTGGAGAGCTAATGTGGTAGGCATCTTGAAAGAAGCATTTTCCCTTTTTTAAAAGCTTGAAAGTGAAAAAGAAATGTATTTGTTTGCTCGAGATTACTTAATAATGTTGTAACCCTCACCCCTTAAGGGGAAAAATAAGACATGGTACACACCTCAAAGACATCCTGCCTGAACTCAAATTGTAAGATGTTCAATTGAACTGCAACTAATACGTTCCATTGACACTGTTAACCATATTAACCTCTGCCTACAATGCTTCTCCTGCCCAGATTGAAATTCGTCAATTTTAAAAAAAAAATTAAAGAGGCGTTCTGATTTCTTTACCAACACTGACCGCCATTTTGCAGTAAAGACCAAGGTTTTAAAAAGTCGACCTTGGTTAACAACAACTTTGTCCTAGAAATGAACATTAATTGTCTTTAGAAGAGGACATACGTTTTCGCAAGGGTTTGGTAGTAGCGATTATTATTCAGTACTTCCAATGTCTTTCTAAGATTTAGAGACTTATGAAATAGGTTTCTTAATGCTTTTTTCTATCAATGTCACAGAAGACACACCCTGCCTCGACCCTTCACACTTTGACTGTGGTGATGGCTCGTGTGTGTCTCCAGACGCAAGATGTGATGGGTTCCAAGATTGCCAGACGAATGAATTAGACGAACAGGAATGTCGTGCGTACATTTCGATTTTAATAAGGCTTAGTCATGTTTTTTTTTCGATTTCCAGTTGTTATAAACTAAGAACGTTTAAGATCATGTACGACAGTATCTTTAAAAAGACAAATCAGTACTTTGATTCGTGTCAGTCCAATTACCGGTAATTCATTCCTTAATTGCTCTTATGAGTTTTTATAAGGGCAACTGGCGACAGCTGGGCTTGTATGCAGATTGTGATTACACAATCTCGAGAACAAAAGGAAATTTGTTCATCTACGATTAGACAGTCTTCCTAAAGTATCTAAAAACAGTACCTTTGTGTGCAAATTTCAGTGGGGTTGTAGAAAGCAACAGGCTGGCAAGCTTAATTAAGAGAGAATTGGGTCGCTCGTTATAAACAACGTCAGGTTGGCAAATAATATGTCATAGATTCGACGCAGGCCAATGCTGTTTGAAGCGTTTGAGTAGACAGACAAATCGAGGTCCAAAATGCTTCAGAAAGCCAGATTTAAAGGAAATTAAATGAAAACAACATGAAAACGTCTTTGAAATATTTTCCTCGAAAGATATTCGTTGAAAAATGATTGAATTTATTAAAGATGACCAGGATTAGGTTTACTTCAAAACTGAATTTTGAAAATTGGTATTTATATTACATTCTTTCTAAGAAAACATTTCTTGTTCGGAGTCCTACCATTGTCAGAACTCTTCCAAGTGTGTCCATTGGCCACTGGTCTGTGATGGTAAGCCTGATTGTCCAATGGAAGACGACGAGGCAGACCATCAATGTGGTGGGTTTTCATAATGCATACAACGTATTCCCAATAATTTTCCCTTCATTTTATATGTTGCAGCAATTGAATTGAATTGAAACGAACGGAATTGAAGACAAATATATTTGGCAAAAGCAAACATTTAAAAGTCAGTGGGTTTTATTTCTCGTTGTAGGTCTGCGCTGCCCAGGTGGTTGCAAGTGTGACATAGACGAAGGTAGTATTGAAGTCGAGTGCAAGCATGGTTGGAATGAGTCCACCTTGGCGAACGTGGTCAAAAGAACAAAAGAACTGTAAGTTGCCTCCATTGGGAATTGTGCTCTCAGTTATCAATATCCCAAGCATTATTTAAAAAGATGGAACCATTGGAGTTGTAAGATCCGTTGAGATGTCACCGGTCTGTGCATACACATTCTGTTCAAAGTTTGTGGTGCGTACAGGTGCGATGACGCGAGCATACAAGTGCCGTAGGAATATCGTGTCATTCACATGTTGTACCAGAAAAGGCATACCTGTTCATTGGGACAAATACTTATTGACTGGTTTGTCGTCGCCAAGTTTTGATTCACAAGGAAAATGCCCGTTGTCTAACACTGTGGCTTTCATAGGGCCAAGGGAAGCAATGGGCGGAGTGAGGCGTCTAATGTATCAGATGAAGGGAAGAGGCATAGCAGTGTCTCACTCCCAATAATTTTGTCCTTTATCCATTTTGGGTATCCCCAGTATATACGTAATTAATATGCTTTCTGGTTGATAGCAATAACACACTCTGAATTTTGTTTGAATATGATGCTTGCACAGCATTTTCTGATTACATGTAGGCTGTTATAGGTTGTTTGCTCAAATCCCTCGCCTATATCTTTGAACTTCAAGATAAATCATGCGTAGTGCATTTGGAAAGGAGATATCACATTTTATTGTACTCGCTTTTTATTCGATTGAGACGCCTTTTTTCCTTAACAGAAAGATTTCCGAAGGAAATGGCAGTTTGTTAGCTATGGGAGTCTTCAAAGAATTTACATATTTGAAGTTACTGTAAGTAGTAGTTAAAACAAAAGTGGTATTATAAAGTCTTGGAACGGTTGATCAACATATCTTCGGTTTGACAAGTAGCAATGCAAATTTGAGCTCAGTTTTGCCTTCGAAATTATCACAAAATATGAATAGATCATCGGAATAGATGTTCGGTAGCAACTTCTTAGAAGTGTAACAATGAACATAGAGTGGTCCAATTCTGACCAAAGTGGTTTGATAAGCACCATATGTCATTAGCTGGTTTGTGATAGTAAATGTACGTGGTGTATTTTGAGTCTGTTCAGAGCAGCATTCTGAATATACATGTATTTGTTCAGGGATTGTTACCTTCTACGTTTTGTTAGTGGTTGGGTCTCGGGTCATGTTGCTGATAAGTCTTGACCACACAAGCAAAGACGATCTCCGTAATTATACAGTACAACAGGGTAGACTACTACAACAATAATCTCTACTGCCTTACGAAGCAGTTCCCAAACTCCAACAAGGTTAAAGGTGACTTAAAAAACCCTCACCCACTTCACATTATGATGAAATAACACCGGTAAGTTGTTTAAAAAGGCGATTATAATAGTCCTCTCCAAACTCCAACGAAAACCTGCACCCAGTAAACCTCAACGAGGAAAGCAAGCTCCCAGACCAGGACTTAACCAACTGTCGTTATGCCAACAAGCATGGAACAACGGCACGCAACCCTTCTTCGCTAATTCCCCAATTAACTGGTTCACACGGGTTCCCTAGCCCTATAACCGAACACTTCTTAAATAAACGAGACTGTCTAACAATCCCCCAATATTCAATGAGATCTGATATAATTGGTAGCTCCCGCAATGAGTACAAGCACCACACTAACCCATCGCACCAGGTACACTTGCGGTAGATCCCCAACCACAACTCCGCAGAGCTCTTGTTAGCAAGCTGCCATCTTGAGAAGTCCTGGCAACCCACGCAGCCAGCGCCCAGACCTAGGGTAATGCGCACTTCTGATTGGTTGCCGCATGCAGGTTAATGCATGATTTACACGTGCATGAATTATTAATGACCCAGACTAAACACAAGTCTGCACAGCCACCCTGGTTCGCCACAATTTTCATTACATTTCATATTTCCGTCGCAGGAATGCCCAATAGACTTTAATTTAGGGCTGAGAAAAGATATAAAAAATCGTTTTCTTATTGTTCATAGACTTAGTACAGAGCAAATGAAACATTCTTTCCTTGGCGCATATGCATTCATGTGCATGTACTGCCAGACTGGGTTATTGAGATTGAGCTGTTTGAATGATTTTTTTTTCAATGATGCAGTACGCGCATCTCTTTTCCAAACTGTCTCACAATCTTACACAAACTTAGAACTTTTCCATGTCTACCAGCAGTATTATTGCAAATGCAATTCTGATTTATCATGGTACTTCTCTACAAGCTGCTCCTGGATTACTACTGATCCACCAAAGCATTTGTAAATTGCATGCCAAATTTTGTTACCCTTACCTATGATGAACACAAACGTAACAAATGTGTTTTGCAACAAATACAATAACCTTTAGTCACAGGATTTTAATTACAAGTAGGTGGTGGAGTGGTACATGTTGTTTTGACAACTTTGATGCTGACATAACGTGGCGGTATGTGGAAAAATGAAATTGGCTGATTTCTCCGGAAGCATCGCTTACTACCAGTCCCTACCTTTGGAGGACGTCTGTAAGACGTCTGGGGACTTCGTACTGGATGGGAACCGGTCCAAATGACACGAACGCCAAAAACACAAACAACATAGTGCGCATGTACTGCTAGTAAGCTGTTGGTGTTTTTGGCGTTCGTGTCATTTAGACCGTGCGCTTACCCCAACGCGTCCAGCGTTTTGTAATATTAAGGCTCCATGCTGCTAGCAGCTATAACAAACTGCTTTTGTTGCTTCGCAGGCGGCTAAACAAGAATAATATATATTATATCAAGCCTGGGACATTTCTTGGCCTGACGAGCTTGACTTCCTTGTAAGTAAGCTCTGAGTTCTCGATTCACTTTGTAGTGCATGTGCTGTTTATGATTTAAAATCCTCCACTGGTACAATTTGGCAATTTGGACAATCTGTGTATGTATTAACTAGGCCTATATTGAAAGGAAGATGAAATGCACAGTTATCATTGGTGTCAAAATTTGTGAAAGATGTATTTATGAGCTTGTTTCAGAGAAAAAGAACGGAAAAAGTATTAATTGTGTCAACTAACCAATTTATTGAGATCAGTGGCATTTCGAATTTTCTTATTCAAAATGGGGAAGGTGACTTTAGCGCTATCCGTTAAAAATCATTGAAGAATCCAGTTGGCTGGTTGAGTGAGCTGCCTTTTGAAGACTTGTTGCCAGATTCTGTCTTAAAAGCGCAAACAAAACATAAACAACACAGGTACATTCCTTGACTAAGGGAAGAAGTTCCGAAGAAATGCTAACTATTTCTTAAATTAATACCGATTTTTCCGAAACCTCTATGCTGTTGGTGTAATGAACATTTGGCTCATTTGAATCAATTATTGAGCCATGCACAGATAGAAACAACTCCTTCAGGCAGATGCTGTGCTTCAGAGTTTTTTTCAGAATCTTGCGCATTTGGTTCTTAATTCTAATTTGACTTCGGTCAATTGGCCTATCATATGCGAAAGTGCACATAGTACAGCCTTTACATGGTCGATCCTCTCTCAAACTTGAGATGATGATTGAACCAAATATTTGAAAACGCCTCCCCTAAGGCAGTTGATGTACATCAGAGCTTTCAGGAGTCTTATTTGTTTTCTTTTTTTTATCAAAAGAGCCTGTCATATACAAACGTGTACTATCAGTGTCTTTACGTGCTCATTTGTCCTCCAACCTTAGAGATATTTCGAACAACAGTATAACGAGCATTGATGCTAACTCCTTTTTGGAACTGCATAGCCTGGAGGTCTTGTAAGTCATTTAATATCTTTTCCGCCCTTTTTATTAAATTGAAAAGAATCAGTTTAGCTCACCATCACCTTGTAATTAGTGAGAGGCTCGGACGCTGGTAATGCTTGACCGCATTGGTCTATTTACAAAAAACTCATTAACAGGATTCCTTTCAGCAAATGGAATTTATGCAAACACAGTGGTTTGCTCTCTGGGGCTGTTCACACTGCAAACCGTCCCAAGCTTCTATGCGCTATTGCAGGCGAATGTAGAAACGGTACTAAATTTATAAGAGAGCATTGATACACGTCCACAGCGCGCTTATGCAGCGTTCGAGCCCATTGGCTCACGTGGTCCAGTGTTTCTTTGTCGTGCTTTCTATTTCCGGTGAAAGTATTCTTTTCTTTTCTCATTAAGGTAACTCGTACGTACGACTTATATGTCGTACGTACGAGCTAAATACCATATTTGACTCAAGAGAGCCTGAATGACAGCCAGATATATATGTTGAAGAGTCAAGTTCATTTTTGCTTAGTTCAAATATAATTTATTGCAAAATTTGCTGAAAATATGGCGGCCAAATGCCATAATTGGCACATGGACCTAACTATCGTAGTGAGACCTTTCTCACAAAAAGAATATGCAGCACCCAGGACATGCTTTGGTCACGCATTTGCAGTAAAGTGGGACTCATAAATTATATTTTCCCAATTCCTTCTGAATAAATCCGATGGAAACCCTATCATGCCGGCTGTAATTGCATTTTTTGGGGGGAAAAGGTTCTTTTTTGGGGCGTGGCTCGTATTGGGGTGAGGAGGCACTTTGCATCTTGGACCCATGACGTTTTCACGCTTTTTTTCTGAAGACAACACAAACCAACGGATGGCAAAAGGCACCACAGGATGCGGGTTTGGTCATTTTGCTTTTTTCCCCGCCAGACCACTCTCACATGTCTCAACAGGTCAAAAGGTGGTCTCAGCTTAACGCTGCCAGGCCCGGCTTGTCTAATAATAACAAGGTCAGACAGATCACTTGCCTCCATTTTTTAAAACATATATTTACGTGTTATATCATGTAACACGTATATTTCGCCCAATCTTGGGGTTATGCATCTTTGTTGCAAAAATACCCCCATACTTCAAATAAGAAACACACTCCTCTAAGTTCACATTTTTGAGCCCTAAGTTAATGTATTTAGAAGCTTAAAAGATTACACCCAATAATAGGTCCACTCTGCCAAATGTGGCCTTTTGTCGGCCATTTTGAAAATTGTCGCCACTTTTCCTGTCATTTTTACATGTTATCTGTATGCCATTCAGATTCCTTTTAGCCTTAAACACATTGCAATAGTTGGGTCCTTGTACCAAATAGGGTATCTGACAGCCATTTGGCGAAAAAGGCCGAAATAATTCCAGCCAATTTTGCTCTTCAATATACATATCTTGATATCATTCAGATTCCCTTTTACCTGTTACACTTGCTCAAATTACAAAAATAAATTGGTTCCTTGTGGACTCTTTCAGAGCAGTTCCACTTATCGAAACATTATCTAAGCCATAGTTCTGAAACATGCTCGTAAAATCACACAATTGTTCTTCATGTCAGACTAACTATAGAGCACAATTGATGTCGTGGCAAGGCATTATCATGCTTAACGACTAAATTTCTGACGTGTGTGTAAACGATATCAACGTATCTGAAATTTTATTGGTACGCAACAACGCTTAGGTTTTAGTTTTAGTAACAACCTTCAAATTTGCAACTTACCATTACCTCCTTATCAGGATTGCCATGGATATTTCCCTTCAAACTATCGAAGAGAAGGCTTTTGATGGACTGAAAATGCTTCAATTGTTGTAAGTAAAATTGAAAATATGTTTTAAATTTAAATATATTTCAGATTACAGTAATCTGGACATTTGTTATAAACATTTTTCCGTGCAACATTTTGACATAAGCAATGAAACTAGAATTTTTAATAAATTCAATCTTCATATGTTATTAACGTCTACTCATCAACCAACAAATCTAAGCTTTTATCGTCTGTTCCATTGTTCGATAAAATGACACAGCAAAACTTGTCCCTCTGAATATCAAGAAAAGAATCTTTTCTTCTTGATGAAATAAAATACAGTTCTTGACCACAAAAACCTTGTACAGTTTGTAGCAAGACGTTGTGTTGTTCAATTCTGTATAGAATAACGCGCCTGAAATAAAGATCTTAAGATTTCAAATGTGATCCCATGGAGTTACTCTATCACGTCTCATACTATCTAGGGTTTTGATAAGACGTAGTTTATCCAGCCAGTCCGCTGTTGATGTCAAAGATGGCGCACTGACAGACTTAGTGCGCTTGGAAAAACTGTAAGTTAACCTGACCTAATTCGAAATACAGAATCTTTGTAAATTTTCTATTGTTTGGGCTAATTTAAACCAAGAGTCAAGTTTTTTTATAATTAGATAAAGGCGCGAAGTGTCATTGCCAGAAAAGTTGGGTATCGGCCCTTTACTTTCGAGGTTTGTTTTTATGAGGTGAATTTGTTCAAATTCTATCAAAAAGATGTGTTTTTTTTTAATATACTCAAGTTAACTCATATATTTATGAAAATTTATTAAAAGTGTTTTTTCAAAAGATAATTTTTGATCAATTATGGTTTGGGACATTTCGTCCGGGTTATGAAAGCGAAATCATTTTAAAAAGAATTTCCAAAATGTAAGTCGTTAAGATAAGTGGAAACAGTGTATATTAGTGTAGACCTCCTAAGAACAAATACCTCGTAAAAACGAAATGGAGAATATACATTTAACAAAATTATTCGTAAATTGTGTGTGTGTGTTTTCTGTAAAGAACGAAAGGTGGGCACATATTATTATTAATATTATCATTACAATGGTATATGTCATTATATATTTTGTCATTAGTTACTATAACACATATATTATTGTTATCATCAATGACTAATGGCTTTGTTTAACCTCAGTCGCATAGGAAAGAGAATGCTACATTCTGAAATGCTCGAAATTATTCACACCCGTCTGCATGTCATGGTATTTGGCCACACTTTGGTTCTCCTGACATTCGTAAGATTCTGAACGTTTTGAATATGTGCAACAATGCATACATCCTCTACGAATCTGACACTAAGAATATCATTTTTTGCAATTAATTTGTGGAATACCATTGTCAGTACTCTAATTCTGAAGTATTAATTTTAGTACAGTCGTGGAGTTTTCGTCAGCTGTTGTGAACTTGGCAAAAACTACTGAACTCAGCAAAGATCTCCGCATGAGCATTGTGAATGCCCACAAAGACGGGAAAGGCAACAAAGCCATTTCCAAGCTCTTCACAGTACCAATTTCCACTTCACAATGCATCGCCAAAAGTAAAAGAAGTACGGTGAAGAACATCGACAAGCGTGGACAGAAGCCGAAGGTGTATCTTAGTCTGGTTAGGAAAGTGTCCTTTCCAACCCCAGAACAACAATCAAGGCACTTCAGGACACTTTGGGTAAGATGGGCACCGAGGTTTCCACACAGAAAATCCACTGCGCACTGCTCAAAGAAGAGCTACATGGGCGTCGTCCAAGAAAGACCCCTCTCTTTTCTCACAGGCATCGGAAAGCTCGATTCGCATTCGCCAGCGGGCACTGAGACAAGGATCAAAGTTTCTTTTCATCAGTTATAATTACGGTCAGACGAGATGAAAACAAAGCTGTTTGGCCACAAGGTGGTTTCCTTCGTTTGGCGCAAGAAATGTGACGATCACTGTGGCGACCGTGAGGTTTGGAGGTGGGAGCATCATGTTTTGGAGTTGTTTCTCTGTAATTGGGTCTGGCAATCTCGTAAATGTTGTAGGAATTATAACGGAGTAGTACATCCCGATTCTGAAAGACAATGCCAAGCAGCCTGCAGAAAATACCCATTCTCGGCCCCAACTGGACATACATGTACAGGTACCAACAGGACAATTATCCTAAACGTGCGAAAAAGGCAATCAAAAACTTGTTCCATTATGAACAACGTGGAGGTGCTACAACAGCCAAGCCAATGCCGAGACCTTAATCCCATCGAAAACCTGTCCAAGGTGCATGCCGCGGGCCATCCAATCTGAAAGAGCTAGAGGACTTCGCCAAGGAAGAATGGGCCAAGATTCCCGTCGAACTGTACCAAACCCTCGTGAACAGCCTCACAAACTGCCTGGATGCTGTCATCGAGAACAAGGGCTTTACAATTGACTATGTCGAGAACAAGGGCTTTGCAATTGACAACCGTGATATTAACCCTCATAGTAAAGACTACGAACATTCTGAACGTGTTAGAATAGCATTCTCTTTGTTATTCAAATGAGGTAAAACCAATTTTATACCTAACAGCTTAAGTATTCAATGATGACCCATATATTATATGCCCACCTTTCAATCCTTAGAAAAACGCAAAAAGACCTAAAGTTTGTAAGGGGTCTAAGAATGTTGTTAACTGTATATCCAGTAGAAACGAACTGTGAAACAAGTATCTCGTAAAAAGGAGGTTGGAAAAAAATCTTATACAAACGAACTTCGAAAAAAATCATAATGTTGTGAAAATCTATCCTTCATGGCACGACAAACCTTTCTAACTCACACGCACAAAAATTAAGTGTATATTTATGATGATATTATATGAAGGAATACAGTGTGAATATTCAGGTTAGTCATATTGTTCAAAGTATTTTAATTCAAAAAATGTTAATGAAAATGGATAAGCTATATAGTAAATTTTAATCGGAAAATTCCAGGGACATTAATACAAGCAAACCTTGGATGAAACTGTAGTAGTTATAATCTCGACTCCTCCTGACCAAGAGGAAAAGGGGCTCTGTTATAAAATTATTTCGGATCTGCATGGAACTAATGTTGAGTCAACTGTAAAATTACTTCTCTCCATCTTTCTATTAGCTATGTGGACGATCATCGTCTGTGTTGTGAGTTCAAGTCATCGATTGGCCTTGACGTATCAAACTGCTTCACCACTGAACGGCAGCCTCCCCTGAATCTCTGCGGAAGCCTGATGCGTAACAACTTCCTACGTGTCTCTATGTGGATTCTTGGTCTGAGTGCCCTTGTCGGCAACGCAGCGGTCATCATTCGGAGGTGTTGCCAGGGCAAGGAAAAAGGCGGGAAAAGGACACACTCCTTTTTTGTGCTCAATCTTGCGGTTTCAGACTTTATGATGGGCGTGTATATGTTAATGATAGCTGGAGCCGACGTTTACTTTGGCAATAAGTACTCACGCGAGGCCCGCGAGTGGAGATCGAGCCCGATCTGCAAGATAGCGGGGGTGATCTCGGTCCTTTCAAGTGAGGCTTCAGTGTTCTTCGTTACCCTCATTAGCCTCGACAGCTTCTACTCAATCGTATTTCCTTTCAGTCGGACCCGACTTGGGGAAAAATCGGCTGCAATCACTGTCGCCAGTCTGTGGCTTTTAGCTTTGAGTCTCAGTGTCGTCCCCACTGTCCTTGTTAGCTCTGACTCCAGAGTGTACGGCCTATCTGATGTATGCATTGGTCTGCCTTTGCTCACCAAGCCAACAAGCTACGACTTAGCAGAGAACAAAATCGACATGCGAGCAGATCTCGACCCAATTAAGGTCCCTGTGGGTAGAGGGAAGGAACCAGCCTGGATCTATTCCATCATCCTCTTTCTTGGTGTCAACCTTCTGTGTTTCCTGGTGGTCCTGTACTGCTATATCGCGATCTTCGTTAAGGTCAAGCGCACTGCCTCCAGAGTCAGGCGGATGACTCACCGCGACCAGGAGATCAAAACAGCTGTCAAGATGGCGCTGATAGTAGGCACGGACTTTGCTTGCTGGATGCCGGTGATCATCATGGGAATCCTGTCCCAGACCGGAGTGGTGGATATCAGTCTGGATATGTACGCATGGACTGTCGTCTTCATCCTACCCATCAACTCGTCCCTCAATCCATACATGTACACGTTCTACACCACCTTGGCTAGTCGGCGCAACAATCAAGGGGCTCGTTTCTCAACTGAAATGAAGACCAAATCCTTGGAAACAGTTCATTCCATGATACTGGGCAAATAGTCGTAGTAGAATTTACATGTGTAATTTTTAAGGAGCATTCAGATTATTCGTAAACATGGATGTATAGTCAATAACGGGACTTTTAACTTGGTTCCAAGTTAAAATGGCAGCTGCCAATTTATAGTTGAAGTTACAGGCTATAAACAGATTAAGTTATTTGGGTGTTTTACCACTTTGTGAGCCAGGTAAATACATTCACAGACTGAAACTATATACGCAGACAGTTGAGCCATTGAAAGTATGCCCTAGGTGCGTATTGGTAGAAGCTTCGGCACTTTTAGATAAAAAGTAGTCAATTGAATTTCATGGGTGCTGCTCGTCGCCGTAAATATTAGCTGTCAAAGATGCCAGAAAGCACAATATAACTCATTCAGTGCACAAAGATTTACAATACTTGTATTTGTAGTAGTAAAGCTCAACATATTTGAGTAATATCGGTAGGTCTGCGTTAGGGTAATGTAGTCTCGTTTTGAAAAGTGGATTCATTGTGTTATTGTTATAACATACTGTTTCCTGTTTCACCATATTTTTTAGTAGAAATGCTGACATAAATTGCTGTATAAGTAGGGTAAAAACCCATTAAAACAAATGTTCCCTACTTCTTTATCTATGAAAGATGTGTTTAAGCGCTTAGCGTTTCGACCTTGGTTTGTAAATAAAAGCAACACTGACTGAAAGATTTCGCCGATTGGCAATTTGATAAACGTGATTTCAGGTAGTATATTCAAAGATTAAAAGGCCATCTCGATTTTGGAATATTTAGTAGTCTGTAAAATATTAGTATATCCAGTACATGCACTAGCAATGACAATATCTACGATTTATTATTGTAAAGAATGTCTAATAATACAGCAAGTGATAGTACAGATAGTACAGACAGTTTGGGGTTTACTACCGGTAATTGGCCATGTGATCACAAAGAATCCAACTTTCACCATTCGTGTTCATTTGTATTCCAAATACGAATAATCGAATCGAACTGAGGCTGCTTAGGTGGAAGGCGAGGAAAGAAACACCATTTCAATTTTTGAGTTACACTAGGTGCTGTTGTGGTGTCATCTAAGTAGGGCCATGGTCAATTTGCGTTTCGTTTTTCTTTGAAATTAAAATTGTTAATTGTTAACCAAAAATATACTTAGTAGGAACTTTCTTGAGGAAATTTTGCTAGTTGGATTGTTGCCGTGAGGAACACAACAATGAATCGCCAACGAAAAGGAAATTTAAGAAAGGAAACCATCCGAAGTTCCAGCAGGATGCAACGTTGAAGTTTTCTTTCTGAATGACATCACAGCTTTGCTCACCAAAAAAAAGCTTTTACACGTGAAAGTGCGCAATGAAAGCACAAAATACCTTTTGAAAGAGCAAAGAAAAATAATTTTTTTGACATATAAAGTAGTTTTTACAAGGTTGTTTTAAAAAAGTTGACTTGAATAGACCAGGTTGTTCCTGTTTCTTGTTCTTTATAAATAAATTCCTCCTGAAATTGAAACAGTCATTTACGAGTTCATAAATACTGTTCGGTTCCCAGAACGTTTTCTCTTTGTTCTCTGTTTTTCATCCCTCTACAAAAACCTCAACTCGTACGATACATGGCTGTGCTCTGTGGGCAAAGATGTGTCATCTGGCAGCTGTTCAGGGCAACTTTTATACATGCCTCTGATTTGACCAGTTCCTTTTTAATTTAGCCCCACAGCTGTAAGAATGACTTACCCACCAAATATAACAAATCGCGCAACACAATGCGGGCAGAGGTTCAAGAAAAATATCATTTTTTAAAATTTGAAAACCAAGCAACATACAAAGGTAACCAACCTACTAATTAAAGACACAGCAGAATCTCGCGATGCAAGGCAGATATTGAAGAAACCAAACTCTATTGAAATTAACTTCATTTTTTCCAAATTAGTGTTTCCAATGAAATGGTAACTTTGCAATCAACTGGTATTCCAAACGGAAATTGTGAAAACAATGCTCTTTTTCAATCCGAAACTCAAAAAATGAAAACGTATCGAGTTTTTTTAACAATTCAGCACAGGTTTTTTCAAGCATCCTTCTAGCTATAGACCCCTTAAACCGGTGTTATGTCAACCTTTAAAAACTTGTCATACGAGGGGCTCTCAACAATGCAAATGACTCACCTTTCTGAGATACTTCTGAGTATTTGTAAAATAGTTTTCTATAAAGATTCAATATTGATATCGTTAAATGTAATTTGAAACGTTTCGCGGGATATGCCTAATACAAAAATTGAGAGTTTATCGGTGATAATGAATGATTCCGCACATTTGCAATTCCATTACTCTTGGGGCTGTTAAAAATAAGAGGAAACGCAATCGCATTTTTTAATGTTTTTTTTTACTTGGAAGTTGCATAGAGTTGCGAAATTGAAAGTGAAGTAACAGAGATCACGAGACCTGAATTTCCACTTGGTAGTGTGGTTTTCTTAATATTTCTTTTCATATTTTCTCATACCTATCAAGTACACAATTTTTAGTTGATAAGCTCGCCAACAAAACCCTACGGTTCATGGAATTCACCAGATTAATTGAGCATTCTTTAAGGCCATGACAATAAATATATACAGTTCATTTTATCATCATAAAAGTATCTGAGCACTTTTAGGTGTTCATGCTAAACTCAATCAATCATTTCATTACTTGTTCCTTTTCTCCCTCTTCTTGTTTTGTTTGGTCTAATCCCAGCAAAATGCCCCGCCTGAATACTGTGTGTTTATGAATGAAACAAACACAAGCCCCTGTTTTTATTTTTTTTGTTTCGCCTTCAGAGCTTATTTAAGATAGGGTTAGGGATAGGCTTTGGGACAGTAGGGTGAGGGATCACAGAAACATTTCTATAAATCCCGAATTTTGGACTGACAGTTTCCAGTTTGGGTTATTTCTTTCGCAAAAGCCCTAAATTGAGGGAATATTTGGACAGAGGCGGGCGGCGACAATCAGAGCCGGGCGAATAGTTTTACTACTTTGGAAGTATCTTCGGGGAAAGGCGAATTAAAACAAAACTGTGGCTAAAACCCATCAAATTCAAAGGAAAAGTGATCTTCTGGCCATAATCTTGAATTTCCGGGGGGGGGAAGGAGACAAACCTCCTTCGAGTGTCAACAGGCGGCGCTTTTTCGCTCTGTTTTGTTTTTGTGTGTGTGTGTGCTTTCTATGGGCACGTATTATGGTGTAGTGCAACCTGCGAGAGTTCAGGGCTGCACCACTACAAATAAATTCCCACAGACAGCAATGATAAATCCCCACTCTTCACAAATATTTAGAAACTACTCACAACTCTCACAGGTGTCCAGGCTGCACAGAAAAACGATGATCGACATGTCCCCTTTTCATTTTCCTTTCAATTTTTGTGGGGTTGACCGGTGATGTTTTGAGACATTTTCACCAGAAGCAGACCACCTCTAAAAATGAAGAAAATGTATCTGCCCAGAAAAGTGGCCATTTGGAAAAACCATCCCTCTGAAAAACGGCCATATAGTGCCACTTACGGACCCGACTGCACCCAAGTTGCTCGTAATTGCAAGCCCAAAGTCCGGGCTCGAGGTTCAGTGCCATATTTCTCCAATTCCTCGATTTCATGACTCTCAGGACTCTACTATAGAATATTTTGAGTGTATAACTTTTATTAAGGAACTCGGCGTACACATTTTAGGCTTTTTTGCAAAGGTGCACCCTCAGACGTGTCCGGACGTACGTGTAGTCCGGGAACTCTCTCATATTGATGCGCGCGTATTTAATTTACCAATTAATTGAGGAGAAGCTGTCAGGGAGATTTGTGCCTAGCCCCACGCGCATTTTGCTACATGATGCACTATTGTAGCGTTGTAATCACTCAGTCTTTGCAGAGCCAAATTCTGTGCGGTATAACTTGGTTAATGA